ATTTTGATTATTTACAAGTTTAAAGAAGTCATTTGCACATGTTTATAATGACAAAAACGCTTTCAACTCTCTTTGTCTATTTCTATATGAGGAAAACCAACCATTGTTACAGGTCCTAGAATACCTTTCCGTGCATCCACTGCTTGGTCCGTACATCCAAATGGCTGCCAAAATGGTTGTCTCCATGTGCTACATCATTGTCCTACTTCTAGTCACTTTGATGGCTTTTGGCGTGTCACGACAAGCAATAACTTACCCCCACGAAAAGTGGAATTGGCTTCTTGTAAGGTACTCAGATTATCACTACTTTCATGACACGTACAACGAACTTATAGGAACATCTTCTACAAACCGTACTTTATGTTGTACGGTGAAGTGTATGCTGGAGAAATCGACACATGTGGAGATGAAGGCAAGTAAAGCAACCTTGTTTTTGTAACGTTACGTAAATAATCAGGCTTTAGCGTGGAAAGCATTCAGAAAAGGAGAAACATCTGAAGGTGACAGCGAAGTGAAAATTGTTAATAGTAGTGTGTTGCATGCGTTGTGGTGGTCAAATCCTATCCAGCCAGCTCTTGGGGTCAAGCATCTATTTTAGGAACGAATTGTGTTCCTGGAGGATGGATACCGCCGGTGTTGATGACAATCTTTCTTCTTGTCGCTAATATCTTACTCATAAACATGTTGATAGCCATCTTCAAGTATGTCTGATACTTGCTCATTAGCCGGAAAATAGACTGACGTTTCAGCAACATCTTCAACGACACTAACATTCGTTCTCAAGAAGTATGGCTCTTTCAAAGATACTGGCAGGTATAGAGTTAGATCATCAGTAATTCCATTAGGGATGAAAAGACGAAGAATAGCAGAAATCTATAAAAGGGATTTTTTTCTCAACAAGAAGTGTTCAGCGTGAAGACATTATGTCGTGGGAAAGCCCTTGTGCAAACTCTGATGTCATTGTGCTTCCGCTTGTCTTATATCTCTTTGTCATATCACCTTGTTTGAATGCATTAATGACTGATTTGAGTACTCATAAGAATATTTTTCCTAAGAATTTTATAGTTTAATGTGCTGAAGCGCGAGAAGGAAATACTGACGTCTGAATGGCATATGAAGATTTTGGCTCTGCGTAACTTCGGGAATATATTGGGTTGTTTCAAAAGTTCTACCGGTTTTGTGTTCCCCTTTTTGACCTGCCGTTTCGGGGGGAAGAAATTAGTTATTGCAGACATTGCTTATATGCTTCGAAAGCTTTTTTCTTCTATTAGGTTGGTAAGAAAGTTCTCGGACATTTTCGAAC